AAAGGATAATGGAGACCTAGATGACTATGATGATATCACCTATCTGATGGTGCAACCCGAAGGTGGGGATAGGATCTCAGTGGTAGCAATAGATATAATGATCGTATTTGAACTGGCTCATGAACACCTAGGTGACTCTTATGACCTCACCTTTTTGATGGTGCAATCCGAAGGTGGGTATAGAATCTCAGTGACTGCACTAGATACAACAATCGTATTTGAACTCATTTGAAAGGGCTCAAGTAGACTAAGATGAATGATTAAATATTTTGCCATTGTTTTGCTTTGTCATTTGCCATGATTTTAAGAAGTAACTAGTTGAAATACCCTTTCATATTATTTATTGTGGTTTGTGGCTTATTACCGGACTGTGTAATAGTAAAAACAGTATTATTACTCGCTTAATTTATTATGTTTTCAGGCAATTAAAAAAACCAGTAAAACTCCCAAGTAGGTACATAATTAGAAATCTGCCATATATTTTACAGGCAAAAAAAACAAGGCAGACCGGAAAAAGCATAACCAATTACAACCAGAAGACGACTATATCTGCGTACTTCAAGAAAACCTACGAGCACAATTAACACCAATTCCTATAAATGACCAACTCACCTGTACTCGGTATTTAGAATTGAATGATTTTTGACCAAAGATTTTTAGATTTAGTAAATGAAACAATGTTGTACTCAATAATTTATTACACGAATACTTGGACATTTAATAAAACAAGTTTTACGGATTTTATTTTGTTTAATTTATTTTAATTCGTGACGTTTGTGTGCTTAAACTTTATTTTAGAATGTAACATGTAGCGTGCTCAATTAGATAAACATAGAAAGCTAGGCCATCCCTACTATTTCCGTTACTGAAAACCATAAGCATTATCTGGTCATCATAAAACCTTCAGAATGTTCCCATGCCCACGCATTTTTCTGGGCGCACCGTAATCCGCTGGCCTTAGATTATTGATAGGTCTTCGCGCGCTCAGACTAGATACCGCCGGCGTTCTTCTAAAATGTGGCAACAAATAATACGCCGAAATCGGCATACCCGAGCCAAATCGCGTTGCAGGCGACATGTGATGTGGACGTACCGAATGTTTTATTAAATTTTGATCATAATCCGAAGTAAAATACCAGCTTGCGTAGTAAAACTGTGTAAAAATAATAATACAAGAAATAAGAAAGATACTGGGATCACATACTATCAGTAAGTATTTCGAAATTTCAGCATAAAATAGCACGAGCCATAAATAAGTTACAAAACATGAATTACGTCATTCAGTGTTGCCGCGTGTACAAAAATAATGTTCCCCGTGGCTGAGATTTTTATATGTGAGTTTATTGTTACTATATTTTATAATATAATATATTTAACTTATTATAATATAACCTATTTCTATATTATTTAATGTTTATTTTTGTAGTATTGCTGAAATGACCTAATATTTATACGTTGTTATATTAATTGTTATTTTTATTATTAAAACATTATTTCCGTTTATTAGGGCTCCGTACCCAAAGAGTGTCAACGGGACTTAAGTTTCCACTATCGTTCCGTCTGTCTGTCAGCAGGCTGTATTTTATGAACCGTAATATGTAGATACTTGAAATTTTCACAGAAAGTGTATTGGCTAATTGTATTGCTGCTATAACAACATATAATAAAAATAAAATAAAATATTAAAGGATCCCTAAATCACGTTTCTTGTATGAAGGCCATAAAAGAAACGTGATCTGTTCTGTATTGATATGTGTTTTGTTTACAGACTAGCGAAACCTGGATTAACACGCAATAAGATGATGCTGTGTGTATGGTGGGATTGGAAGCGTATCGTTTATCATGAGCTTTTACCGCCTGGTAAAACTATCGATTCTGATCCCTACTGCCAACAAATAATGAGACTCAAGCTAGAAATAGAAAAAAAGACGGCCTGCATTGATCATCAGAAAAGGATTGGTTTTTCATCATGATAACGCCATATCACAAGATTAGTCATCTGTTTGAGACTTTTAATACACACAAACATTCCTAAAAATCCAGTATTTGCTTGAGTACTTAAAACTGGTTTAAAACTTTTAATCATTATTTTCTTTTGTTGCTTGTGTTCTTTAAACGAAAGCTAGAGGTTTTACTATTTAAGTTTATAATATATTGTTTCGCATGTTCTAAATAATTAAGAATATTATTTTTATTTCCATTATAAATGCGATGACTAAATCCATGTTGCTTCAAATCTCTGGTATTGAATATATCTAATAAAACTACTAGTCGCATTTTTTAGATCAAAAATCCCAAGATTTCTACAGCAACGCGATTATGTCACTACCTACAAGATTGCAACAAGTTATCGAACAAAATGGACCATGTATATTATAATTAAATGTAATAAAACTTGAAAACAAAAATGTCTTGAATTTGTATATAAAATACGAACCAACGTTTTCCCCGACCTTATATACTAAGTAAAAGTGTAACAAAATAGTACTCAATAACTTAGGGAATGATTCTGCCCGTAAACATGAATAACTTTATTATGGGATCATCTTCGAAATTTTCAATCTATATGGGGTAGAGCGATACTACAGCTATATTACTGGTATAGTTGTAGCACGGTTGGGTCGGCTCGACCGGGGAAGGACCACGCTCTCACAGAATACCAGTTTAAAATAGTAGCTTAACGTTGCTTTGTTTCGTATGGTGAGTGTAGAGAACCGGAGACCCTTTTTACTGGAAACGAGGCATTCCATCTTAGTCCTCAGGGGTTGCAACGCATCTGCATTTTGATTCTTAACGGAAGATAGATGTAGATGTCTATGAGCCACAGCAACCACTTAACTGGGATGGACGGTGTGCTCGTTTGTCACCTTGATCCTGTAAAAAAAACTCAAAATCAGTTACTCCATACAGAATTTCGTACAAACTTGTTCAAAATGTATGGAAGACCTGATTTTTCTTGCGATTTCGAAGATAGATTTATAGTAAAAGTTGTTCATATTGACGCGTAGAATAGAAACAGCAAAAGCACTATTTTGGTTACCTCATATAATATATAACTATTTTTTTTAATAATTTGTGAATATTAGTCAGACATTTTAATATAAAAATTAAACTGATAAAAATGAGGCCTTATCATTTATATGACATTTATTCAGAAGAAAAACATATACATAATATACACAAATACATATATTGATACATTCGCTATTAATAAATTATTCATTTTTAAGTATTTCTCGTCTACATTCATAACTATGTATGTATGTAACTAAGTATGGCTTAAAATAAATTTTCCCTTTAATCGGGTAATAGTTAAGCTGCTGGCATATTATACAATTTTTTATGCACACTAGCATCCTTGCAATTGTCTTATACACACTACAATATTGAGATGCCGCATTCACGGAGCTGTTATTTTCAAGTAGTGCGGTATCTAGTTTATTATTAATCTATGCCGCTGGCTTTAGTTCATTTGCATCACGCCAAACTGACCCTGAGTGAGCGTGCTTATAGCAGGGCTCCGTCACTCGTTCAAGGTCTCGCGTTATACACCTACCGGCTAGCGTACTCCTGGAGTGCAAGTATCAGTGGGGTGTCACACGCTCTACAGATGGGTTTATTTAAGTTTTAATAATTAAAATAAACACTTAAAAGTAACTAACACATTTATGTATAATTTACCATGATGAATAAAATTATCATAATAACTGATCCATTTCTTAAAATTGTCGTAATATTTATCTTACTTATTAATATTATTATATATATATATTCACACAGCCGATATTTTTTATAATAAAATGTTTTATGTTTTTATTTTTTCTTGCATATCATTTAATCTACAAAACCATCGTAAACTTAAATCCTAATCCTTGATGGACCCAATCTACTGTACTTTATTTACACTATATTATGTTTTTCCTTTTTCCCCAGTTTATTTATTTGCTTATTATCTTAAAAAGAAATGTAATTTTATATCTCTGTGCTATTAAAATGACCATAATGCATCAAACTTAGTACTACTTTACTTAATGTGAATTTTGGCAGGAATTTTACCGTCGCGTCGGCGGATTATTGCTCCTGTTTTATCGTTTAAATAATCATTTGAAGTAGATTTTTATACGTTAAAGTGATACGATTTTGTGTATTAAGTGTCTGCGCAATTGATAAACGGCGAAACAAGTGCTTCGATGTTGATATAAACCTCAAGTTATTTTGATCGCTTAGGGGCCGTATGAACTTGAGCTACTGTCGTTATCGACTGTCCGCTGGATAGACATTTTAATTCCGTGCTATCAGAAATAGCTGTTAAATATATCGGGTGACAAACGAGCACACAGTCCACCTGATGGTAAGTAGTTGCTGTGGCCCATAGACATCTACATCTATCCTCGATTACGAATCAAAATGCAGATGCATTGTCACCCGTGAGGACTAAGTTGGAATGCATCGTTTCCAGTAAAAGGGTCTTCGGTTCTCTACATTCACCATACGAAACAGCAGCATTGAGCTGCTATTTTATACTGGTAATCTGTGAAAGCGTGGTCCTTCCTCGGTCGAGCCGACCCATTCTTGCTACAACTATACCAGTAATATAGCTACAGCATGGCTGTACCACGTTTATTTGATTTCTTCAGCTACATCTGTAGCATCTGAACGAATTGCTTCTACAATCAATCTTTTATTGCCTAATAATATTAACGTGTATTTTTGAAAACTCTTACTGAAAAATATTGGTACACATAATTGTCTTATTTAACTTAAACAATAATTTAAAAATTGACTTAAACAACAAATGTATGTTACCGTAGGAGTTTCAGTAACCTAGGTGAAGAGACTAAAAGAATGGCTCAGACTTAAGTCAACACTACACTTGATTGCAAACGCTCTGCTGAATATATTCTTAAATTTTGTATACTTTTCTTTTTCTATGGGATGTGATGGGATTTAGTGTCATAAATATTTACCAAAATTTCTTACAATAAACATTACTCTTACAGCTCCTTTACCGCCTGAGTTGTTAGATATACCGGATGACCTGATAGACAGATCCACAAGCGATGGCACCATAGAGGAGAACTTCGAAGAGGAGCTTGCTAGGGCACCAGAAGTTTACGCTGAGGTAAGTCACATTATTTGATTAAATTCCTGCAGTGTTTGTTTAAGCGTGTAAAGCATGAAACAAGTACCTTTCTAATTTCGACATTTTGAGCGTAGTGTTAATTTATTTATTTTTATTTATACTCTTTATTGCACAAAAAATATTACACAGCCCAAAAAAATTAAATTTATAAATGTATGTACAGTCAGGTGGCCGTATCGCTAAACAGCGATCTCTTCCAGGCAAACCTTTTCATTTGACATCTTTTCTTGCTTATCGTTAGTTATGTATAATATGATTACTGATTAAAGAATATCTGACATTAGCACACAATTTTAAAAGCAGAATATGATTAAACATAATATGAAAAATATAGGTTAAATATTAATTGCATTTTTTAAATCAGAATATGTAATTTTAATTTATGTAATAAAATTTTAGAGCAGGCAGGGTACCCTAGAAAAATAATACAAATAAACAAACTCTAGAATAAGCAGAGATCGAAGAGTTCTCTCAAACATTAAACATAGATGATTTTTGAAATCTTGGTGGAAATATAATACTTAGTTAAGACTGGAAGATCCTATGCTGGCTTGGGAAATAAATCTCACACGAGAGTTGGAATTATACGTCTGTCTAATACAAAATATATCTAATACATATACGTAGTTTTATTTTCAAAGCATTTTTCACATTTTGTATCAGTATTAGTAGTATAAATAATCCACAGAGAGTTGAAAGTATTTTATTATCTATTGTGTTTATTAAGCTGAAGAACTGCCGATTAAAAAAATAGAAATGTAAACAAATAACTTAGTATGTTACTTTCGATTTTAAAATTAGCAGACTTCGATATGATGTGTTTTCAACTTATTATTTATTTATATTCGTTGTATATTAGATAGCGACTTGCTCTCTGGACTACGATTGCTTCTCGGAGCTGAGCGGGAGCGGTCTCGTAGAAGTAGTAGGAGACGATGAGATCGGCCGACGTATAATCGTAGTGTCCGCGTGCAGACTGCCGCCTAGCAAAGACTTACACCCTGATATATTGCTAAGGTGTGTATACTAATACTGGTATTCTGTTTTGCTTCTTTTTTTATTTTAATTATTTCTCTTCTTATTTTAATAACAATTCAATAATTTAAAGCTAAAATATATTAATGGTATAAGAAACGGTCTGCAAATTTAAATGACGCAATTTGACTGTCAAGAACCGCTTTTAACACAAACATTTTAAGCTTACTTGTAATGGTTAACGGGAATACTAATGTTGTATAACATTCTTCAATTGTTTCCAATTTACTTTAAGAATTAATTTTAAATTTTAAAATTAATAAGCTCCGTTTAATATTCTCCCTGTTGAATGGCCGTACCACAGAACGCTCCCCCTTATTGTTTAGTGTAACTAGAGATTTTCCACTTTGGCCTTAGGAGGCCCGACCTACGTCTGCTTGTCGAAACTCAGCTGAATGGGCCCCTAAGGATTTGACCTTTATGGGAGCAGCCGTAGGCCGTAACAATCTGGTTTTTTATTTTATTATATCCAATAATTAATGTAGATTTTGTCCTCTTTTCCTCTAATGGTTTTTTAAATATTTAAAGGTTTTTGATGTTCACATTGGATAAATACGTGGAGCAAGACTACAGCGTGGTCTACTTCCATTACGGCCTAACAAGCAAGAACAAACCGCCCCTTTCTTGGCTGTGGAAAGCATATAAGGCTTTTGATAGGAAATACAAGAAGAATTTGAAAGCCCTCTATCTAGTCCACCCGACAAATTTTATACGCATCGTATGGCAGATGCTGAGACCCGCAATAAGCGTCAAGTTTGGAAGGAAAATGATGTACGTGAATTCGTTGCATGAACTGCAGCAATACTTGAATTTGGACAAAATTTGTATTCCAGAGCCGGTTCTAGAGTAAGTATTATATGGATCATTGTGAGCTATTAATATATTTTTAACATTACTTTAACAATAAATTCTGAACTTTCTGTTGTATGATTGGGGGAAGACTGCTGGGAGACTTTCTAACATTCTATAAAAATATAAGTTATTACTATCTTTGAAATACATATTTTTCTTTATAGATACAATAACGGTTTTGTTATTTAGCTATACTCCTGTCTAATAGATATAGTTTTAAATGAATTGTGTATTATTAATATTTGTATAAAATGATCCACATTATTTCATAATATTATCTTCAGATACGATAAACTTCTACAAGCGAAGAATCCAAAAGCGGCAGCGCGTCAAACCCCCGAAAGGCCTGAAAAATTGGATCAAAATGACACAAAAACACCGCAGAAAGATAGTCTCTCACCACCGGTTACGCAACAATTTGGAGTTTCATTGCAGTTTATTAAAGAAAACAATGCCAACATTGTTGACTCTATACCGCCAGTTGTGAGACAATGCGTCGAATTTCTATCCCAACCTGATGGTAAGTATGAAATATCTATACATCTATACAAATAAATAAAATTGAAGCGTCTGTTTGTAATGTCAAAATTACGGCTTTTTACTAAATGTATATGAAAGTATATACGATACTTATAACAAAAACACAATTTTTAAAATTTTTGTCTGTCTGTCGGTCTGTCTGTCTGTTTGTTCCGGCTAATCTCCGAAACGGCTGGACCGATTTTGACGGGATTTTCACTGGCAGATAGCTGATGTCAAAGGGAGTAACTTAGGCAACTTAAAATTTAGAAAAAGAATTAGGGTTCCGCGCAAAAATATTAAAACCCCAAATAACACGCGGGCGAAGTCGCGGAGAACAGCTAGTTTCCTATAAAAATAAAATTTAGGTGATATGATTCACGCCCGGTTTCTGCGGTACTTCTATCGATGGTTTTATTCATTAGCATTGTTAGTTTGACAATTTATGAAAGTGCGTTTCCGATAATTGTAATATAATAGGTCTAGGAAAAAGTTTCCTCGTATTTTGTTTGTATAAAATTGAAAAATCTCTTTGGTTGTTGTATTGTTTGTATCTGGCTGGTTTTAATATCAATACATATAGGACATCAAGAAAAAGAAAGACACTTTTCCGCCATTTTTTAACTATTTATTTGTACGCCAAAATGAGTGAATCTAACGAAGAAATTCGATACATTCTGAAGTTTTATTACAAAAAAGGGAAAAATGCGACTCGAGCCGCGAAAAAAATTTGTGACGTTTCCGGACCAAATGCAGTGTCAGTAAGAGTAGCACAAAGTTGGTTCAAGCGTTTTCAGTCATGGGATTTTGATATCAAATATGCAGCTCGCTTGTCGCTCTCCTACGGATAAAGACGATTCAATTTTTGAAAAAGTGGAGCAAGATCGGCATATTAGTAGTTACGACACAGCCTAGGAATTGAGGATCGACTACAAAACAGTTTTGACCCATTTGAAAAAGTCTAGCTATACAAAAAAGCTCGATATTTGGGTCTCGACCTTCACTGAAAGAAACCTAATAAATCGTGTACTCATTTGCGATTCTGTATTGAAACATAATGAAACCGAACCATTTTTGAAAGGATTGATCGCTGTTGATGATAAATAGATCGATCACCTACGACAAGAACATGCGAAAAAGATCATGATCAAAGGGTAGTCAAGCTCCACAGGCTGCTGTGGTGTGTGTGCAGTGTTGTGTGTATAGTGGGAATGGAAGGGCATCGTTTTTTATGAGCTTTTACCGCCGGGCAAAATCATCGATTAGGATCTCTACTACCAACAACTAATGAGACTAAAGCAAGAAATTGAGAAAAACGGCCGGAATTGATCAACAGAAAAGGAGTGGTCTTTCATCACACACACATCTTTGCCCACGCAGCAAAAATTGAGTGAGCTTGGTTGAGAAGTGTTAATGTATCCACCATATAATCCCGGCCTTGCAACTTCAGATATTCACCGGTTTCGGTCTCTTCAGAATTCTTTGGGTGGAGTTAGGTTAACGTCAAGAGTGGACTGTCAAAACTCCTTGTCGCATCTTTTTATTAAAAATCCCAAGATTTCTACAGCAACAGGATTATGTCACTACCTGCAAGATGGCAACAAGTTATCGAACAAAATGGCACATATATATATATATATATATATATATATATATATATATATATATATATATATATATATATATATATATATATCATAATTAAATGTAATTAAACTTTGGAAATGTCTTGAATTTGTGTATAAATACGAAAAAACTTTCCCCGACCTTATATGATTGACGACGACTCAATTGCTCAATTTGTGCCATTAACCGGTTCCATAACTGTATTTGAAGCTAACTACATCAACTTAGATGTCATAACGTGTTATGATTAAAATAAATTGCCAGAGAAAGCTAATTATTGAAGTCATTCAAAGAACAACGCATGCCTCGGATACGACTTTCGTTAAAATAGCCTACCGATTGTTGTGACGCGCTTATTAAATCAAAATGCACCTGACGCCCGCGTGCGAGAGTCTGTACAACTTAGCCCGTGACGCGCCTTTGTTAAGGCCGCTCCTACTGTAGGGTTAGGTGTTGTGAGGAAACAAATTGAATCCTTTGATATTAGTTGGTAGCAGAATACACCGATGTAACATTATTGTGCAATGTGAGGAAGGTTAATATGCAACATCGAGAAAAATTAAGAATATAACTTTGTTGGCCTTAATAACCGAAACCTGTATCGCATAGACAAAACCCTAGGTTTCCTCAAAGAGATCACAGAACCGTAGCCAGTGAAGGAAGGCGACCGTGTCTACGAAAGTCTCATGTAGAGCCTTGTGGAACCTCCAATTGAGCTCTTTCTCCTTCCATACCGTCTCGCGGTCAGAAATGTTTTGTACTGTCTTGCCATTGCTCGTTGGCTAAAGATAGAGGTGTAAGCCCTTTATCACAAGAAATTACGATTTTATTGGATGGATCATTCGAACTCGTCAGGAAGTAATTACGGAGGCTGCACACTTGTGAGCGCCATGCTTCCGCAGCAAGTACAACCACATTACCGACGATCTCGGATGGTGCATCCTATGGGACGTTATGGTAGTGCGGATTTTTCAGTCCAGGGCGTTAAGCTCTGTTTGAGCTCACATCCGAAGGTGGACTCGCATGACCCAACCGCTACATGCGTGTGTCCTTTTCACGCCCGACAAAAGGCTGTTAAGCACTTTGGTCAAGCGTGCATAAAACAGGTCGCAAACTGATTGTTTCATGTCCGCTTCACCAATACCTATATTTTGTGAAATACTTAGGTATCGGTATGTTTCAGCCTCGGAAAGGGTATTTATGTTGATAGGCATAAATAAGTCTATGCCCTCAGAGCTAACAACCCTACCCCTCGCAACATGGAGGAACGCACATTTGTCCGTCCCCAACTCCTATAATAGAATAATTCGAGATCATCCATATAGAAAATGTGGGTCACTTTTGTACCTCATTTCCGCAGCCGAAATCCCTTACAGGAGGCCGCCAGTAAGGTACTGACAGGATTTAGAGAGAGAGAGAAGCAGAACCTTACACGATTACTGATTACATTATTATTATTATTTTACAATAAAAGGATAAACTTCAAACGACTGCCTCGTTTGTCTAGTTGTAGGTCGACCAAAATCAGTTATTGAGTTTTTCTGTTAAGAAATTCTCAGCAGCAGTTCAGAGTCAGGAAGTTGGCGGTGTTTCACCCCCGTGTCTCGGAAAGCACGTAAAGTCTACGCACGTACGGTCCTGCGAATGATTTCTCTCCGACCGTGTTGGATTTCCGTCCCATTGGACTATGATAGTGAGAGTATTCTCTCACTATCATAATCCAATGATAATGGCAATTTGACTAATTTGGGAAAACCACTTTAAATGATTATTAATTACATAATAAGCTAACTAATTTTGATTTTTATTGTTAATACATAAAAAACGCTGTAATTATGCTGATCATGTATTATGTGTGACGTCACACACATGGAAACAAGTCAATAACCGTATAAAACAAAATTTCTAAGTATATCAACATAACCTAAAATGAGATTTTGCAAAACTTCTAAATGATGACCATACGTAAAGTTTCGTAAATAAATAATTCCTACATGGTATTTACACTGTTGTTCTCACATTCTTATATTCCGCAGCATAGTAATCAGCGTTATTGTTAAATAAATCCGCTACCGTAAATCCGTCTTATCTTAGGTAGGTTCCTGTTATCGGCTCGCACAAAATTTGAATCCATTTTGATATTCAAAACGAATATTTATGCTGCTAGTTATAAGATTTATCAAAAACTGTTTCAGAAATAGCTCAAAGATCGAATATAGCACCCAAAAACATAGAACGGGAGCTAAAATCGGTCAAGGCAACTATGTTTATACGTGTGTGACGTCACCAGAGTTGCAACCAATCACAGGGCGTTACCGCCACAGATAACATTTCAAAAATTATTATTTTATTTTCGTTTATTTTGAAATAGTTTGGAAAATCCAAAAGTGCACACCTCATGAGCGTTTCATATAATCTTGAAGAAAAAAAGAAATTGTATTCCTGACTTTTGAAATATATTATTTACGTACCTATATTAAATTTATAATTTTTCTATTATATTAACACATAGTGTTACCTACGGGAAAAAAATAATGTTCACCAAAACGAATCGATTACATAAAGTATAAAATCGATATAGGCCGTATGGTACATTTGTCCTTTGTCTATGAAATGCTAAAAAAATATGACAGCGCCTTTAAATTTTTAATAGTAATAAAACTTATAGAAGTTGAAAATCATTTTATTAACATACTACCATTGAGTTATATGTACTACGTACTAGAGAAGCAATTCCAAACAAAAATTATGCGCTACTCTATGTCTTCGCGCATGCGCGGGAGTAGTAGTAACGCGCATGCGCGAAGACTTTAATTTAATATAAAATAAATATAAGAATTTAATATAAAATATCTTAATTTAATCTAAACAAACATATTTCTAAATAAAATGTGATAATAATTATTTTATGGAATTCACAAATCTTCAATTTACGCAATATTTAGTTTGTATGGATTGCACTACAGTTCAGTTGAACATAGTCAATGTTCGGAATGGCTTCTCTAGTACGTAGTACATATAACTCAATGCATACTACGCATACTAGACTATTGATATGAAATAGGAAACCCGGGAGTTATCGTAACCACATACAAAATCAACATTCGGACGTCCACGTAATTTTTTTTTCAAACCGTTTTTTTTTTAAGTAGCAATATAAAACGATTTTTTAAAAAATATAAGATAGATTAATTAGTGTTTTCTTGATATACTGCTACTCATTTTATCGTATAAGTGCAATATGCTTAGTTAGGGATAGAGGCATTGTAAGAACACAAAATTGCTTGACCTTGACTGTCGAGAGTAAGACACGCCTACAATGCTTCGTATTATGAGGCATGTAATATATATTTTTACGCTATTATCTGATAGGGTGACCACAATTTGTAGTATATTTTTAAAGTTGTCAAATAGCCTATAGAGAGTACACCTGTGTTTGCGCACACGATAGAAGAAAACTTAAAATTACCTCCAGTGGCGGCGTAGAGTGGGTTGGCACCCAGGGCGGTTTTCTATCAAACACCCCCTAAAATAAAACAAAAAATGCTAAACATGCTAACGGGACTTTATTTTGCTAAAATATTCTATTATATTATCAACGTTTACTTTCTTGTCCTTTTCAATAGATGAAATGGAAAGATTCGTTAGTCGCACTTGGCTCACTGTGGACCTTAAATAAGATTTTATTAACTCGAGTTTTGAAAAGCTTCTTTCACATGAAGCTACCGAAACACAAATAGTAAAAATAAAATCTTAGACACAGAGTTAGATTCGAAACAAATTCAGATTAGCCCCGTTTTACGATGAATCTGTGACGCTCCAATAAAGTATATGCTACTTGGGAAGAAATGTTGGCGGTTTCCAAGTGGCGTCTAAGTCGTAAAATCTCCAAAATTATGTCTTCTGCAGAAAATTCATCGTAAATTTTGTCAGATTTGAAACAATTACACGAAGATCTTCTTCTTGTGACGTTAGCAGAATGTAAGGCTAGTAACGATGGTCTAGTTTTTCGTAAAATCTGTCAAGACGTTCTAACATAGCTCTCTGCAGCTTCTCTGGTAATGTTAGTCCAACATATCGGGCCATTTCTCGTAATAAATGTGTTCGAAATATCCTCCTTCCTCTTCTTTCAATCGAAATGTCCAAGTCCTTATATTTTTTTGTTAAGTAGGAAATAGGTTTTTCCACTATTTCAATATGTTGGCTTTGAAATAAAAATTTAAGGGCTTTGATTTCTACCACATATTTTTCCAGTGATAGTTCAGACGTTTGTAATTACTTTTGCGTCTGATTAACTTCTTTTAGAACTCCACTTCAAAAGGAAAGATAGCATAAAAACTGAAGTCACACATAGCTGGTAAGAGTGTAAAATGTAGATGCTTCTTTTGTCGTATCTCTGCGGATCACATTTATCTTCGAATCTTTACTTTTTCGAATTTAACTTGTATCAAAGTTTCTCAAAATTATTCAGCAGCGGTTTAACAGCGCCGTGATGATCACTTCATCTTGTCTCTGATAGTATTTTTACGGATACGTCTAAACTTTTCATTAGAATTTCCCATCGATTTGTTGATGATAATGTAAACTCTTTCTACTGTTCCAAAAAAAGTTAAAATTGAATTAAGAGTTCACTCCACGTAGATTTATCGACTAGCACAAGGTGTAAACAATGCTTTGGGATTGCGTTCTTTAGTTCTGGCTTGTTCGCCATCATGAACTCCAGCCATTGTTGCAGCGTTATCATATTCTTGAGCCCTTACTTACCTTCTGCGATCGTGTTACTCACTAGACTGAGCGTTACCTAACCTGAGCGCATTTATTTAGGATATTATGTTTGAAAGTAAATAAAAATAAATTTGAGATACATATTAAGATATAATATTTGTATGCAAGTAGATACTATAGTAGGTAGCAATTTATTTATTGGTATGCCTTTGCGGAGTAATTCTTCTCTTCTTCGGCAGTTTACAAACATAAATTGCACAAGGATAAACATCCAGACCAGGAACTATTATTTGTAGGCCGTACAAATACTTGTTCCGTGCGGGATTCGAACTCACGGGCCCAGCGCAGCGCTGCTACCAATTGCTAAGCCACTGCGCCACGGAACCGTCTATAAGTATTCTCTGGCTATGTGAGTGAGTTGTCGTTGTCACCACTTGGTGCTTGGCGCCCGGGGCGGACCCCCGAACCCCTCCTTTACGTCGCCACTGATTACCTCTGCTTTTCGGTTAGTTAAGTTTTGTTCTCGATCGGGTGCGGACTTAAAGACAAAAATCTGATATATATTACAATTAATATCAACTGACTTTATACCGTCGTTGATATAGTCTACCGTATTGATATATTCCTTATGGCAGAATCGCTGGAATTAAGCTCGCTATACTCGGGGTTTGCTGCGTGATAAACTTAGAAATGCGGATATCCGCAGTAGAACCAGAGTGACCGACATAGCTCAACGGATTACTAAGCTAAAGTGGCAATGATCCGGTCATATAACTCGAAGAACCGAGAATCGATGATTCTCCCACTAGATCGAGTGACGACCTGGTAAGACATGCAGGAAGTCGATGGATGCAGATGGCTCAGGACCGTGCTTTATGGCAATCCTTGGGGGAGGCCTATGTTCAGCAGTGGACTTGTGAAGGCCTGTAATAATGATGATGATTATCTACTGTTACAAATTTATTACGATTGGATTTAATTTTTTTGCGCGGAAGCCTAATTATATTTCTAAAATAAAAGAAGCCTAAGTTACTACTTATAACATCAGCTACCTGCTAGAGAAACTGCCGTCAAAATGGATCCAGCCATTTCGGAGATTAGCCGGAACAAACAGACGGACAGACAAAAAAATTATTTTATAGAATTACCCTGTATACTTTCATATGCATTTAGTAAAAGGCTGTTATTTTGACATTACATAAACCAGAGACAATATCATTTATTTTGCTATAATTTTTGAGAAATTCCATAGACTTAGAATTTACTGGCGTATAGAGGACCGACAGCTCGAAAATGCGTGACTAGTTTTGATTTGTCATTGTGTGCGTTAGCTAGGGATGTAGATTTTACTTACAAGGACTATCGAAAACTGATTGTTAAGGAAGCGGTAAAAAGAATTAATAAAATTGTTTAGTGCACGAAATTGAATCACTTATAAAATTTACTGAATTTTTATCATGATAGTTTTAAAATAATTAAAAAATATTCATATAACATGTTCCTGGGAATAAGGTGAACCTGCCTTTTGTTGGATTTTAATTCAAATTTATAAAATCCCAGGTGACTCCACCGATAAACTCAAAAAACCTCCCCAAGAATCAGATCGGAAAGTTGTATTTTTGAGCAATGATCTTTGGAGAAAAATATTTACTGCCATGGACACTTTCTCCGGAATTTCATTTTTAACATATTGTTGATTTTGATTTATTTATGATTGATGTTGATCTTAACTAAGTATATATACCTATTTATATTTTATAAAATAAATAAAAGGAAATAAGAAACGGGGACAAAATTTTGATAAATACAAACATTTAATAATCAATAATTAAATACATTATAGAAGTTTATTTTAACATTGCACTTAAATATGTAGTTTAAAACTTAGTAATTTTTTAAAAACATAATGATTTTAACAGAGTAAAGTGTATCAAGTGTCTGAGGATACAGATGCACTCTCTATTCTCTTAATCTCGGTATCTTAAGTTAATGGTCACTCATTCATGGACTGACCGTGGCAAGTGCTACTTAATCTCGCAGATATATTGATCCGCGCAGCTATTACTTAGCCACGAGTTCATCTTCTCTACGACTTACGCTGTAGTTAATGAACCACGCTATTTAAGCCCTCGGCACAATGTCGTCGGGCATTAAGCATGAATCGGGCATCGCGCGTAGTGAGTATCAGGCGAGGCTTTCGAGTGGCGCTTCAGGAGGATTGTAGTAGGTCAACAAGTAGTAGACCCCTAGAGTACATGTAAAATATTTTGTATAAATATGTTAAAAAAATCACGCAAATTTGATAATTTGTATAAATTTTGTGACGTGACTTTTTTCTTTGCTACATATCAAAATTAACGAAATAATTGGAAACATTCTATATTTTAAACAGTATATAACATAAATTTGAACCAAAAATAAACGAATAAAACTATTTTTACGGATTTTATCGCGTTTAATTAACTTATTTTATATTCCCGACGTTTCGGTTGCTTTCCAGCAACCGTGGTCACGGGGGATTCTCCGGGACGGGAAATCCGTAAAAATAGTTATTCAATGTGTAGTGTTCGCGTAAATATAAGAAATCATTACAAAAATAAACGAGTCATAACTTTGACGACGCCTTGAAAATTTACATGTGAAATGTGCAATTATCAGGATTATTTCTTTTATTAATACCACAGTCACTCACAAAACGTGGGGTGGATTGCCGACCGAAATTATACCTGTGTCGTTTCTGCGAACGGGTTAATCCCAGTCAGCCTCTCGGGTCATCTGAGCCGACTGAGACTCTGTGACGGATCGCTCCAAGGTCAAATGTTGAAGGCGGTGCTCCTCGATACCGCTGGCTTCTTTCCCTTTCCCCCTAAACCTCGGCCGTTTGGTCTCCCCTGCCGAGGGCTTCCATCTGGTTGGGTTTTTATTTATTTATTTTATTTTATTGATATCTAATATACAAATACACCACATAATAAAATATACAAATACACCACATAATAAAAATAATAATAATTTATTAGACTCTCAGTTTGACAAATATATTTTATAAAAAAAAAACTTCATTCATGCATTTGTTTCGCCAATCATTGAATGCTGATTGGTTATCAGTCCCATACGTTCCGTGGAGTCTTGTACTTGTATTTGGCTTTGTATGCGCTCTTAAAGTATTTAATTTATAAATTATTACAGCTTTAGAAACTGAAGGGATATTCCGTCGTTCAGCAAACATATCTGTAATAAAGGAGCTGCAACGGGCTTGCAACCGGGGCGAGCCAATATCTTTTAGAAACGATCCTCATAACGCTGCCGTCTTGCTGAAGACCTTTCTTCGTGATCTTGAAGAACCTCTTATGACCTTCGACTTGTATGATGAGATTTTAAAATTCCAAAGTAAGTAAACATTGTAAGTAACATGTGCATCAGCTGACGTTATAAATTATATTGCCTTCTGACTATTATACAAATTTGATTCATATTCGTCACACTGTTGGCCTTCTCTTCTGAGACATTCGAAACAAACGGTTTGCTTTGTCTTACATAATGCGTAAATCGAAGGAGTGAATTAATTTGCCGGCGTCTGTCTTTCTATCCAATTTCAATCTAGATGTCTGGCTTTAGTTATGCTAAGACAGTACGATTTACCTAAATAGAGCTTTGTCACCACTTACCATCGGGGGGATTGTAGTCTAGCACTGGCTTATAAGAAGTTAATAAATTGTCATCTTTTTTATTTATTAGATGTGTCTGATTCCTTACAATGTTTTCATAGTATTATAATTATAATAATTAAAGTTGCAATTAAAATTATCGTGGAGCCGGCAGGAATCGAACTGGGATTATTCGCATATGATGAATTTTTAAGCTAGTACTTACCCACTGATCAACTTCTGCTCAAAATAGCCATTTTAAATGTTTAATATTAACGACGAGATTGTCAATTCGACTTTACGGCTTTTTTTTGTATGTATTGTACGCAATGTCTTCGCCAATTGTAAACCAATTTTAATGATCCTGTTTTATTTAAATAAGTCATAAATCAGGGGTGATCCCCATCGATCACTATTAAAAACTAGATACACAATCAGTGACAAAAATGTCCTTACCGAATGAACGCCCACGAACATTTGGGTGCGCATTTTGTATGTATGTACGTAGCTTTGTGATTACAACTTACGATGCATATAGTTAGAGTTGAATTTACATTATTGTATATTTATTTCGACTAGAATTACGTCAAAACAATTGGCAGTTGACAGTTTTTAGAGAACTTTGGCATGGAATTTTGTATCTAGATTTTTTATTAGTGATCGATGGTGACCCATATAAATATGCATACAAATTCCATTTCTAAGGGTGGGTAAAATAGGGGATGAAGTTTTAAATTTACCTAACTATTAAGACGTCATTTTAGTTGTAACCTTGAGTTTGTGATATTTCTCAAATCCACTTGAAAGAGAAAAAATTAAACTTTTAATTTAAAAGTATGTAAGCTGACTTCAAATAACTAAAAGGAATAAAAAAGTTAACACAATAGCTGAAGCCGGAGCTTAAAAATTAAATTATATTGTAATATATAGCACTCAGCATTTTATTTGTTTTAATTATTTGACGTCGACTTTTACTTATTATAAAAAGTTTAATTTATGTTGAATGATGAAACCGAGAGAAATTTACGTCAAGCATTTAGACCGCGGAGAACTACTCATCCTCCGAAATGAGAGGAGTTCAATATTTTTTTATTTTCCCTTCTCTATAAGTTTGCTATAGGATTCTTTTAAATTGTGACTATCATACCTCTCGTCGTACTAATAGTATTTATTCTTATTTCAGCATGGTCAAACCGGGATAAACCAAGACAAGTGAAGATCTTAATCTTGGAACGATTACCACTTGACAACTACAAATTATTAAAATATATAATACAATTCTTATGGAAGGTAAGCTGTTGTTGCTATTGTTAACGTTTTTAGTTAAAGGTGTAGTTTTTAGTGAAATTGTAGATCTCTTCAAACTTGTTTATTAACAAGTAGTGCTCATACGAGTATATTAGGGCCAAGTTTCTTACATCGCTGTTCATCGGTAATAAGCAATGCCATACTATCAGTGGATGTGAACCGTAATCTGATAAGGTACTAGGTGATACTAGATGGTAGGACAATCAGATAAGGACTTGGCATTAGGATTTCTTTTCTGTCTCTAAATAGGTACCATCCTCTTACCTATTGTAGCTTGCACTGCTGTTTTTTTTTTATAGAATGAGGGTGACAAACGTGCACACAGTCCACCTGATGGTAAGTGGTTGCTGCGGCCCATAGACATCTACATCTATCCTCTATTACAAATCAAAATGTAGATGCGTTGTCACCCGTGAGGACTAAGATGGAATGCCTTATTTCCAGTAAAGAGGGCCTCCGGCCACCTGCACTCACCAAGCGAAACGCAGAGGTAAACCGCTACTTCACGCTGGTTTTCTGTGAGGTCGTGGTACTACCCCGGTTCGAGCCGGCCCATCCGTGCGACAGCAGAAGCTGCCGCGTGGCTCTACCACTGTTATACTTGTTTATTAAATATGCATTTTAAATACAGGGCCAGTTTAATTAATAGAATCAGGCGTTACTTTGCGGAAATCCATTATATAAAAGCTTTTACAAAAATTGATATTTGCGAAGTAAAATTTTTTTAAAAGCTTGTACAGGGCCAGTTGTTAAAATATAATTTAGTTAATGCACGTACAATTTTCTGTCACAGTAGGGTATCTGACATTCATTTTGTCTACACTCGCACGTTGTAATAATTATGTTTCACTGTTTTCACTTTTAGAGAACTGAACATTAGAATGAAAACTAACATAAGAATAAGTTAAGTGATTAGGCTAACCTTTCATTTGGCACCAAGTTGATGTTATTTAGCTATATTATAATGTTTAGTCAACAATTTAATCAACTGTCTAATTGAAGCATCAATACTTAAAGTATTGCTAATAATTCTAAAGTTTAAATAACGTATAACTTCAGTACAGTCTATGATTTCACTGTGAAGTTATCTAAAGTCTGTTCCAATCCAATTTTCTTTGCATGTAAACAATAGTTACATATTTTTTTTTAGATTACATAAAAATAAAATATCCCATTCTATTACACAAGCAATATTTATATATTTTGGTTCTCTCTCTCGTTCTCGAAAACAGCTTAACGATTTGGATGAAATATACCTATTTATTCTTCCATTATTAATCGATCTAGCTAGGTCTCATTGTGGATCATTTCTTTTTCTCCGTCTTTTCAAACAACGAACAATTCGACAAAATTGACTTGCTCGCGCAATATAATTGATTATTTCGTAACAGAGGTCATTCCCAATAGCGCAATAACTAGAGCGTAGGTCTAAAACACTTTAGTACGCCAATTCGAATCCTGCAATGTGGTCAAATTTTATTTTTAATGTTTAATATTCTTGCCCACACAGTTCGACAAAGTAAATTATATTAGACTAATGAAATGTTTTTTGCGGACTTATTTTTTATATTTGTGGCGCTATTTATACTTTTTAACCGCGAAGTCAAAGCTTTGGTCAAAAAATGCGTACTTCACTATACATTCAGTATAAAGCAGTTACAGTTTGGTCACAATGACACATTGTGTATCCACATGTTGGGCGTTATTACATGATAGCACCAAAATTAAGCATGCAAACCAACAACAGCAACTGCTTATCTCAATGTAATAATACAGAGCAGCCACCCCAACGCACTTTACACTTTTTAAAAATTGTATTGGAGCGACTTTAATTATGTTTGGTGCATTTGAGATTTTATTCATAGCAAGCACACTTTCGAACTCATTCACAGACTCCCAGTCGCACAAGCTATGTGAAACTTAGAACTTGATGTGTTCGTAGTTTTGATAAGTTTAATTTATATTTCGCAGGTGCAAGACAGAAGTTGTCTAAACAAAATGACAAGCAGTAACTTAGCTGTGGTATTTGGTCCAAATCTCTCATGGCCTCCCAATGGTCAGATGTCACTACAAGCCATTGCTCCCATCAATTCTTTTACCGATTTCTTATTAGAAAATCAGGAGTCGATATTCATAATCTAAAGTATCTTAAGGTTAAGTTAATGTGGAAATAATAACCTAAATATGAAAGTACTGGCTTTAGATCTGAGATATTTTAAAAATAATGTATAAGTATGTTTCAGGGTTATAAAGTAATTTCTAGATGGAGGAAGATTGGTCAATTGTATAGTTTTAAAAGTATTTTTTCATACCGAACTAAATGCCAAATAAGATGTTAGCGGAATGCCAAATGAATTTTTACCTGAATTCAGAAATCCAATGTATATTTACGATATTTTTACTTGTCTGTGCGATATTGTAGATATTATAGAACAGACGAAAAGCTGTTATTTAATAAGTAATATTTAACTACATACTTGACTTCAGCTTTCTAGTCAAAATTACATTTGATGTTATCAGAAGCAAAAAATATTTACAGGAAATTCTTAACACTAATCTCACTGCTTTTTCAATAAAATTAAATTATAAGTAATAACAATAAAATTACATTATAAGTATTATAAGAAAAATGTAATAACAATATATGCCAAATTGTTATTGTGTTTTAATAAAAGTTAATATAAAATAATGATTGTTCAATCAAGTGTTGCCTAAAATATTGAAAGTTTTCATAATTATCCAATTCTGTGTTTAGTCAAAATATACATAATATACCTGAAGCCATAAACAAAAATTAATTAACATTTGGATCAGTGCAAGCATGAATTTATAGTTTACTTACAACATCCCATAACAGACTCCTCGAACTCTGATTATTATAAATACAATTTTTATTTTAAACGTATTTGATTAAATAAATAGAATATGTTTCAAACGCGATTTTTAGTTGGAAATATAGATCGTAAGTTTAAGTGTATATTAGATAGATATATATTTATTTGCACAATTTTCTTATACTTCTTAAAGAGTACTTATTTTGTGACTGGTTGAAACTACATCCAAATCAATGTTGCTTTAAATTTTCCTAATCGATAACTTTAATTATATTGAAATGTTGATACTGTTAATGAAAGTAACTATTATTATGGCCATTGTATAAAATACATAATGGCGTTTGCTTTACAATAAGTTGATTGCAAACACTAACAACACTAAAAAACGGAAAGATGCAATCCTATACGAATAATAAATGTGTGGTTTAGTTGTAGAGTAGGTAAGACGTATAAAATAATTATGCATTTATGAAAACTAAAATTGAAATGTGAGGTCAGCCACCATATTCATATATGTATCTTGTCTAGTTGTTAATGATAAGATTAAAATTACATCCAGTTTATACATAATGTGATTATACAAAAGGCATGTTATATATTGTTTTGTACTAATTATGAAGATCAATTGAAATATGTATTAAAAATTTCGTGTGTGTTATAAAAACATTAAAAGATATTGATCAAGTCAAGAACTATGTATCTACAACATCCACGCGTAAATTTTCTTGTCAATTTGATGTTATTCATTGCAGGTATGATAAAAACAAACAAGTTTTGCATGTTTTTATACACATATAATACATGTTTCTAATAATATGATCTAACAATTGTATAAAACAACTTTAAAAAAGAATAAAATACAAATAAAATGAACATAATTGATACAATTTGATATTTTGTTATTCTAAAAATACTTTACAAAATTGTCAGCATTATGACATAGAAATAAGTAATATTTTTGGCACCAACTCTGCGAAAATATTACATAATTAAACTGAAGAAATTTAATTTGTTTGGAATTTATTTGTGTGCCATTTTAACCTACCGCGTAATATTTAGTTTAGAATCATGCATAAAACGTATACATTTATGGAAAAAATATTCATATGCATTTCACTTAAGTATATAATATATTATTCATGGAGATATGTTTTTTTGTTCTCAATTATATTTTCAATTTATTCTTAAATAATTTAAATATCTTATTACCGGAGGAGCGACTACTTAATAAGAAAACCGACCGGAGTGTTTCTACTGGCATTGTATAAACTGAAAAGAAAATAATAAACACATATCTTTGGGCCGTCGTTTTGAACCGTCTTATATATTATGAAAGTAATTCAAACTGAATATTTAAGATACAGATGTTTATGTTTTTGCAGTTTTATTTTAAACTTCATTTACCTAACAAAATTTTAAAAATCTATGAATTTCTAAGTAACTTTCTCTACTCAATTTCTTATTGTAAGCGTCAATATTACTCTACAATTTAAGTTTGAAAATAAAAGCTATTTTAAAGTTCATAGGAACAATAGTAGAGCATAGATCATAACTTCAATAAATGTTTATAAAACTAATGCTATATTATTATACTAGAATCTCAGTAATTTTCTCAACATTCCACTTTTGTTAGAAATATTTTTTCTGTTTAATCGTTAAAACTTTTAATAGTTAATTATATATTGGATTTTTAAATTGATTTTTATTGTTCTCTAGTTAAATACATATCTTAAAAGATGCACACAATCATTATTAGTTACCTAGATAACAGTGACCTGATAAATTACGAATTTGTTGTGTGAATTAAGTTGTAAATGTTCAACATCATATGTAATGATATTTAGTAAAACTCTTGTTATGTGTATGTATGGCATTTGTTATTAAAATATTTATATGCTTTATGAAAGCTGCCTCTCTGATTCCTTTCATATAACTTAATATAAGTGAACAACTAGTATTTTATTCTTACTTTTGTACATTAAATTTGTCTTGTTTAAACTTTTATAATATATAAATTGTTAACAAATATGAAATAACAATAAACTTTGACTAGTGTACTTTTATTATTTTTTAAGAATCTGTAATGATACTTATGGCTAAATAACTGATAATCACTGGTCACTACTATGAAAGTTAAATCATACATTATATAATAGTGTTACGAGCTTGGGGTTCGAGATAATTAAAAACTGCCGATTTAATTACCAAAATTGACACTTTAATTATACAACACTAATTACAATCTAAAACCACACTAATAATAAAACACAATCACTTTACTTCGCTGTTATTTCGCTTCGAAGTATTCTCTTGTATCGCCAATTCAATACTGCCCCGGTCGTGGTCTATACCGGCCTTATATAGGGCCTCAGATAGTTTCCAGAACCTTCTACTGTAGCGACATCTAGAATGTTCGAGTACATATCGGTCCCGAAATTTCTGGAAGGATCTCGACTCTCCTAGTTCTGCTACTCGACACTAGAGGGCGCTAGTGTAACTAGTGTTGCCATGTACAAGACATTAATAGTGGCGCGCAACAGTATTTTCTGACAGCATATGGTGTTTTGTAGTCAAAGAAATGATTTAAGAAAAGTAGAGCAAGCCATGTCAAATTGCATAATTCATAGCTGTTATGATTGGTTAACATTTCTTTTGGGTATTTTTGAAGAGTGAAAGAATTCCAATGAATATTTCTTCCTATCTTTTTATTGGTGATAAAAATGTTAGGTAGTTATTATTTCCATCATTTTCCAAGCATTAATTGTAGCTTCTGTTAACACATTGAAATAATTTATTCTAAATAAATATGCACTTATAACACATATATGTATTCAATTAATATTTGTACAGAGCACTCAATATTTACAGTTTTTGTAATCACGACACTTAATTACACTTTGACTAATTTGACGCGTGTTCTCAAAACAGAATACCTAAGAATCATGATGCACCCTATTTTATAACATTTCCCTTTCCACTTCTCATCCGTTGTGCACGAAGAGGGGCAGACGATGTTGCCAGTAATAAAGTTGCCAACACTGCCATCCTGCATGGTTCCTGCCTCAGGAAGCTCGCGAGTCTATTAAAATTACTACAATGACACAAATCGATTAGAAACTATTTTTTTTTTTTTGTATATTAACTGCCATGTTTTTCTTTATAAACTGATCATGAGGCAAGTTTATAGTCAAAGGTTACAATCCGGTTACACATTTTCAGTTTTACAAAACTCGAGACCAATTTTAAGACCACCTGCACTTAAAGGAACTTGTCACACTTAAGAGACCAGGTTCGTCTTCTCCTGGAACCACTTGCATTTAAAGGACATTTAGTCTCACTTAAACGTACCAAGTTCATTCCAGTCAAAGGTTGCAATCAGGTTACACATTTTTAGTTTTACAAAACTCGAGACCAATTTTAAGACCACCTGCACTTAAAGGAACTTGTCACACTTAAGAGACCAGGTTCGTCTTCTCCTGGAACCACTTGCATTTAAAGGACATTTAGTCTCACTTAAACGTACCAAGTTCATTCCAGTTAAAGGTTGCAATCAAGTTACACATTTTTAGTTTTACAAAACTCGAGACCAATTTTAAGACCACCTGCACTTAAAGGAACTTGTCACACTTAAGAGACCAGGTTCGTCTTTCTCCTGGAATCACTTGCATTTAAAGGACGTTTAGTCTCACTTAAACGTACCAAGTTCATTCCAGTTGCTTTTAATAAGATATTTCGTCTTACTTAACCGTACCAAGCTTATTTAAACTATACTTATTTCGGTTTTGTTTAACATTTTATGTGTTTTACCCGTATTTTGTATTGACTCGCACACTGAGTAAAATGCAATCAAAAATTTTGCCATATACACTATTTCGGTACTACCTAACATCGACCTTGTGATGTACTTCTGTATACTTTACCACCTAAAAGTTCATAGTTTTTGAAAATATCCTTATTTGCTTCGGCCTGTCCTGTCTCTTAAATTTCTTTAAGCTCAAAGAACGCGATCGCCTACGCCTTTTATATTTTGTGCGTTTATTGCGTTGCAGTCATCGTGATCTACGTGAAAAACAATTTGTTAATTAGCAGGCAACATACACAGTTGCCTATCCTCTCATCCATCACGCATACGAGGGCCCTCAAACAGAAATACGCTCTCATACCGTGGACTATAATAAAGCACTTCGCTTTCACATTTAAGCATACATCTCCATACGAAGTATCTCACATATACTCTTACTTAAACTTGAGAGATCCCACGTTAACCACGTGAACCACGTTTAAAACGTGAACCAGGACAGCGCCTGC